GCGATTAGGATCGCCATTTTTAAGTATTGGAGGATCGAGATGGCGATCTAAATATTAGTTTAACTCTTTCCTGTTCCAAAAATCGTAGCAACATCTAGAATTTGTTCGAGTGGAGAATTTAAAACCCCCAATGAAACATTTGAATAGCACTCGACGCGTGAAATCGTTGAGAAGAAAATGAAATTTTAACGCATTCGCGCGGAGAGTGCTGATCTCTCGATAAAGTAGACAGAAAAAACACGATGCAGAAGTTGTCGACAGCATCTGCCGTTGAACTTTTCAGACGGCAATTACCAAATTGATTAAGCAAGCCCGGCAGCTTTCAAGAGACCCTCCGTTCCTGCATCGAAGAACGATGCCGGCGTAAAATTCTTTCGAAGCCGAGCGGCGAATGAAAAAATGATTGGCAGAGAAGGGAGAAGACAATGACGGATCGCGTGCTCTCCCATCGGCTGCGCTGCATTCTCGTTGGCCGGGGCGACACGTCGGTTCGCGCGTAATAGTTCATAGAGGCGAATCGTATTTGCATTCTTTCTCCATCGAGCGTGGCTCCGGCGGCCGTAAACTCGGCTTTACGAGTGGCCTAATGAGTTCGTCCGAGAGTCCCCGGTAATTTGAGGATTTATAATCGCGGCGGCGTGCATGATTGCGCGTCATTAGGCCGGAGCGGCGGCCCCCCTTTATCGCGAGCTATGGCGCACCGTTAACGAATTACCGGGAGCCGAACGCGCGCGCACCGTTTTCCGTTCCGTCGTTGCCGGCCGCGCGAAAGGACCCGCAGGCCCGCGTCGTTTAAAATAATCGTAACGGACGGTTATTTAATCTGCCATGAATTTTTAAGAGGCCGTGCCGCATAATTCCGCCGGGGCTCCGGCCCCTCCTGCCCCCCTCCCCCGTTTTCGGCCCTGCTCAGATAATCCGAGGGGAAAAGCGGCTCCGACGGTCTCGGAACGAGCGGGCCGGGCCGAGTCATTAGCGTGCACCGTGATTACGAGTAATAACAGCGAATCGAATTACAGAATCGGCTACTTTGAGCTAATCGCTCGTTCCTCGATCCGCTCGAATCAGCGGCGCGTAGTCGGCTGTCCGCCTGTTTCGCCCGCCGATTCTGAGAGTTTCTCGGCTACGTAATCGGCCGATATCGCAGCGGCCGGTTGACGTTTCCGTTTCATATCATGGGCATTAACACGCGGAGAAATGCGCCGGCGAGTGGCCGCGCGCGCGCGCGTGACGCAATCGAATCGAATTTCGAGCGCGCGTTTCCACATGGTAGAACTTTCAGCGAAACTTGCGGTGTCGGTTTTCGAAAGGCGCAACACGTATTGTTACAGATGTCGGAAGAATCGGACGGCTGTCGGAAATTAAGTCGAACGAACGATGCTCGTTCACGAAGCCGGCTGAAGCGAGAAATATTCGGACTGCTGCGTTCTGCGGACTCGTGTTTCCTATGCACTTGCACAGGAGGTAACAAACGAGTCGGGGAAAAATTGTTACTCGCACCGTAACATTTCTGGAATCGTATCGGATGAACGATCCTCGTTCGCACGCTAAAGACGGATATATTCGATCTTGTCACTTTCCGCAGACTTATGCTTCCCATGTGTGCATAAAATATGCAACGAACAGCGCACTGTGTGCTTCATTTCTGCGAACTCGTCGGGAGACAAGCGGTCCATATAACTCGGTAGACTTGGTGGTTATACAACTAAGTAGACCGTGTAACTATGTAGACCGCATAATTAGGTGGACCGTATAATAGGAATCGACCGACTGCTCCTGCCACTTGCAACTTTGCGTTCAAATGACTGGAGTTCAGATAAGTGGACTCGATCATACGTCTTGTTCTATCGTCGGACTAGAGCAATGCCTGAGAGCCCGTCATGATATAATTAACTTTCGTCTAATTGGAGTGACGGTACAGTAAATTCTCCCGAATTTTCCTTTGGTTTGTACACAAAAATGGACAATTTGGAAAGTGGCAGATACGATTATTCGAGCCTCGCGGCTCATTTTGACCCGATCGTCGTGACGATTGCCAACAATTGAGCCGTTTATTTTGAAAGTGGCACAAGTCACTTTGTTTTTAAGTCGATATATTTAAGGGTTTGCGTTTTAACACGTTTAAAAATATGGATGCTAACTTTCGAGAAGATTTACTTGTATTTGTTATCTCAGGATACTGATATTTTTCTCAGTATAAATAATTTCGTATAAACATTAACAAATCACCACTTTTCATTACGGT